AGCCTGGTAGAGAGGCAGAAGACAGAAGGAAGGTGGATGTTGGGGGGAGAGCCATTCCCCAAGAGTATTATAAAATGCAGAGGAAGCCGGAAGAATATTTTATAAGAAAGCCAAATGTTTAATTCATCAAGGCGCGATAAGAGATCTATTGAGGGGAGGAGGACCTCTCTGTACCACTAAAAATGAATTTAAGGGAAGAATGGGAACACCACAGAAAATTATTCTGCTCTTTCCACCACCCCAAAAGAGTTTAATGCTTTGCATCAATCATTCAATGGGTTATCTCAGATGTTTCACGTGAAATCGAAATCTGAAATGGCATGACGGACTCGCTCGGAAGGTGGCGGACTCTCCGAGGTTTCTAAGAAGAGGTTTGGCCATCTGCCACCTAGAAGATGGAGCAAGCTTGGTGTGTCCCCCGCCCCCCCCGCTCCGGAGGGTAGCAGATTCCGACTAAACATCAGGAAGAACTTTCTGACAGTAAGAGCTGTTGAACTCCCTCAGAAGGTGGTGGGCTCTGCCTCCTTGGAGGTTTTTAAGCAGAGGTTTGATGGCCATCTGTCATGGATTCCTTAGTTGAGATTCCTGCATTGCGGGGGGTTGGACTAGATTACCCTTGGGGGTCCCTTCCAACTCTACAACTCTATGATTCTATGACTAGAGAGGTTACAACCCAGGGACTGGGGAGCATGGCTGGCTGATCTGGAAACAAGCGGGCTGAAGCTGTGAGAGTAGCAAGGAAAGACACTCTGGAGATGTAATGCTGTGAACTCGCTTCCTCTCCGTGTAGAGCCAGGTGTATATAGGTGTAAAATGAACCATTTATCTTAAAATCCTACAGCTTCTGCTGTTCAACGGATTCCCATGGCGGTTTATTCCATATTCACATTTCCCTAACTTTCAGTTTCTACATTAGAGAAACCTTCTACCTTGGTTTTCAAACAGGTTAGTTTTCAAACATTTTGGCTCCCAGGCGATCGAAACCCAGAAGTGAGTGTTCCGGTTTAAGAACATTCTTTTGGAAGCTGAACAGCCGACAGGGCTTCCGGCGCTTCCGATTGGCTGCAGGAGCTTCCTGCAGCCAATCTGAAGCTGCGCTTTGGTTTTCAAATGCTTTTGAAGTCGAACATACTTCCGGATTCCATTCGACTTCCAAGGTATGACTGTATATTTGAGCTTTCACACAATGTAAAGGTCACTTGCATACCCAACAGCAGAGTCCCCTGCCCCATCCCCGAGGGCCTGGCCTACTAAAGAGAAAGAATAAAATGGACACAGCAACTGCCCGGGATTAAAAATGGCCACAACTTTATTGATTTCAGGTGTAGGAGGCCTTGGCATAGGCACTGGGCATGTATCCCCTCAGTCCCCTGCTGTGGGTCTGAGGTCGATCCTGGAGATGATGGGTCTAAGGCAAAACACAGGTCTACGCGAATGGTGCCCCAAGGCGCTGAGAGAAGCTCTATGGTCTGCTAGCCCCAGTCCGCCAGCTCTTTGGAGAGAGACTTCCCTCACAACCCCTCTAACGGGGTGCCCTGTTTTCGTCGCCAAAGAAGTGAGTCACCACTTCAACCGCAGTTCAGATGCTAGACTAGAGGGTTCTGCTCAAGGCCTAAACCACCAAGTTGTGACAAATGCTATGGGGAAGGTAAAACCTTCTCAGGAGCAACAGGAATGGCCGCTTTGGGTCGCAACAGCCTCCCACCCCAGATTCGAGGTAAGCAGCCATTCTGAAAGCATAGTGGAATGTAGCGCAAGCTGAGCACTCATTTCCCTATTATTGACAAATGAGGTTTTTTCTCTGGATGCATATACAGTGGTACCTCTGGTTGCAAACGGGATCCATTCCGGAGGCCCGTTCGCAACATGAGCAGAACGCAACCCGCGTCTGCACATGCTGCGATTCACCGCTTCTGCGCATGACGTCAGTTAGCACATTTGCACATGCGTGAGCAGCGAAACCCGGAAGTAACCCTTTCCAGTACTTCCAGGTCGCCGCGGGACGCAACCTGAAAACGCACAACCTGAAGCAAACATAACATGAGGTATGACTGTAACATGGAAATGAACACTGTATTCCACTATAGTTCCAGAAGTGACTTTTACACCACATGAAAGCTCAGATATTACATGATGTGGAACTTAACACTTAGGGGAAAGTAACGAAAGCAGAATAAACTGCGAATGCAACCTTAATCTCTCCAAACTTGGCATCCAACTTAACTATCAGGAACCAGGAAAAGATTAGCACATGTAATGGAACATTAAGATGGATTAATTTTTTCCTGCATGAAATCTGGTAGGACTTCTTCCTATGCAGTGATCTCCGACGATGGCGATGATGCTTGTGCAAATAGGGTACACAGTAGGAGAAAGGAATTCATGTGCAGGGCTGCGATAACTAATTTGTCAAGAGCTCCGCAATAACTCAGTACAAATTAATGTCCATTTAATTTAAAACATTACCAAATCTATGGCTTAACAGACAGCTAGAACTGGTATTAATTGATGTCATCTGAGTGTGAGAAAGAAATCCATTTGTGACCCCCAAGTGTCATGAAATTTAACGTAATTACACACTTTATCATTTGGTTTATTTTTTTCCATTATATTAGTTCATAGGACGGTTACACTCCTTCATCACTTTATTATGCTTACCTTATGCTGAAACACTTCCTTCCAGCTAACGTCTCAGAAGATGAGCTATGCCCCTGAGAGATTACAGCTCAGCGGCAGCAAAATACATGCTTTGAATTCAGGGTGCCCCGGGTTCAAATCCTGATACTTCCAGTCTTAAAAAAGGGATCAAATAGCAAGTGCTGAGACCATGAAGAGTCGCTCAGTGGCAAAGGAGGCAATACTGGGCCAAACGGGCAAATCATGACTTTGTAAAATACTGTTTCCTATGCTCCCAAGAGCTGGGTTATATAAAGATGCACAAAATCAGAATAAAGCAGGGGTGATGAAACTTTTTCAGTCCTGGGTAACCATGTGGCAGAGGTGGGCAGGACCAAAGGCAAAAGGAGATGGAATAATGAATGCAAATTTCACTGATGCACAGCTAGTTTCTACACACACTTGCACAGCAGCGCTCGCTCGCTCTCCTCCATTCAGACCTGTGCAAGGCCAATAAAAGAAAAACACATTCCAGCCAGGGAAAAATATTTGAGGTGTGAATTGGGGCTAGATGGTGAGGCCTGGAGGGTTGCATGAGACCTGGGTCTAAGGTTCCCAATCCCTGGAATAAAGCAGCAATGCAAGAAAGATAGACGTGGACACCAAAAGCTCAAGAGGAAATTGGATCAATGGCAAATCTGCTACAACACAGCCCTGATGATAGCACACTGTGTGTTACCAAGTCATTTTTCCTAGGGCGAAAACAAACTTTTTCCAGCTTAAAAAAACACACACCCCTTGAGAATTTTGTGCTGACGTTGAATTGTTGTGAATGGTAAGTAGAGTCCAAGGGTACCCATAGAGACCCCCCCCCAAACAGGCCACCCTGATTCCATCTAAAGTGAAATTTCTTAGTCCCTTCTTAAGAAGAAGAAAAAGAAGAGGTTGGATTTGATATCCCGCTTTATCACTACCCTAAGGAGTCTCAAAGCAGCTAACATTCTCCTTTCCCTTCCTCCCCCACAACAAACACTCTGTGAGGTGAGTGGGGCTGAGAGACTTCAGAGAAGTGTGACTAGCCCAAGGTCACCCAGCAGCTGCATGTGGAGGAGCGGAGACGCGAACCCGGTTCCCCAGATTATGAGTCTACCACTCTTAACCACTACACCGCACTGGAGTGACTTCATGGGAAGCCAACTGATTAAGATTATTTTGATCATCTTTGGGGGCGGGGAGTGTTGCACACCCCAACTTTTTAGGCAGTTTTTGCTTTAAGAAGAATCTAAGTTGGAGGTGAAACATTGGAAGAATTTCATGGGGAGCCAAAAGAACTTCAACCAGACTTGAAAAAATTATCAACAAATTTTTGTACAACTGTAAGAATGCCAGTAGGGTAAAAAATCTACTCACTGACCCAGGAGACCCCACTATCTAAGTCATCAAAAATATATCAACACTCCCTTAACCTCCCCAAAACACTCATAATCTCAATTACAATCTGTTAACTTTGCCCCGTGGAACCCAATGGGATCTGCTGAGGATGATGTTCTTCCATAAGAAAAAAACACACACACACACACACCAAAGTGCATTATATAAGAAGTTACAATAATCTGAATGTACACTAAGCTTGTAATTTAGGAAGCACTGTGGGACTTATTTAAGGAAAAGTTTCTTAGGGCCAAGCCAATTTTCCTCTGTTTTTTTGGAAGAGGGAGAGGTAGCTCGCGACGTACTAAAAATGCAATTAGATAAAGTAACTTCATGAAATGCAGCTAAAAGCGTCAGCCGTATGAGGAGCCCCAGGACCATATGAGAAACCAGCCGGTGCTCCAGATTTCTGACTCTGTGAAAAGGTTTCTTTGACATTCTGCCAGGCGACATCTACTCTGAAGAAAAGCAGCTGAATGCACAAGCCCAGAAGGTTGAGCAAGTACCTCGGTTTATGGACAGCAACCTGCTTGGTGGGTCTTTGGGAGATGCTTTGCAATTGTACCTGACGTGAAGTCAGGATAACAGTATGATGGCAGGGTGGGGAAGCAGGATATTCACAATTCATATCATTTGCATGAATACCTTAAAACACTTCATTGTAAGATCCCAAGGCAAAACCTGGCAATCAATCACACAAAATGCAATTTAAAACAAGGAAATAAAAATAACTTTCTTTTTTTAAAAAAAAAAGAAGACGAAGCTGAAAACAGATTAAAACACAATTTTTAGAAAACCTCATCTAAAATGCCTGGGGATATAACTGCACCATGCACTCTCATACTGAAATAAACGTCCAAAAGCAAAGCTGGGTGCTCAGAAAACCCAACCTTTCTCCAACCTTTCACCATGTCTGATCTAGAAGCATTTATAAGGATCAGGCAGTATCAGCCTGTTGATTTAAGCAGAGTCTGTCGTGCCCAGCGGAAGGATGAGCAATACGTGCTACATACTCTATATTGCTTTATTTACAGTTCAAAGCAGGTATATTACAGAAAGACATCTTGCCTCTGCAGGAGCAGAAAATGCATCCTCTCTCCTCGACAGCTCGGAGAGAATCACACAGTGAAAAACAGGAAACCAGTGTACGTCACATCCAGTCTCCCTTTCCCGTGAGAAACTCCAACAGTACAGACTGTGGAATGTAAACACCTGTCTCATGACAAGCAGAGCTGCACAGTGAAGGAAAGCAGAAACCAACATCCTCCCCCTTTCTGTGAACATCACTGGGCAGCGTGTTCGTACAGTATCAGTACAAACCCAACTTCTGCACATAGGTACAGTGTTGATCCCTTGATACAATCTTGGACAATACATCAGCAGGAATTTCATTACCTGGCATATAGGACACCGTTACGAGTCCCTTCTGAATACATTCCCTAGCATGCTGCAATTTTAATTGCAAGTGCTTTGTGCTTTGCTTACAACCTTCAGACTTCAGCAAAGCCAAACATGCTTTGTTGTCCTGGTAAACCTGGATTGGACATTTGACAGGAATTTTCATATCTTTGCACAATTGTACTAACCATTCACAATCCTTAAGTGAATAAGACAGTGCATTCAGTTCGGCTTCACAAGTACTTAAGCTAACTGTTGTTTGCTTCTTGCATGACCAATCAAAAAGACCCTGATTGTACATGTAGCAAACTCCAGACGTACTTTTCCTGTCTGTAGTGTCACTTCCAAAACTTGCATCTGCAAATATCTCAAGACCACCAGACTTCTGATTGTTAAATCTCAGTCTGTAATGCATAGTGCCTTTCAAATACCGCGCTATGCGTTTCAGAGCTTTCCAATCCTTGACACTAGGATTGTTGACTTGTCTGCTTAGCAAATTACAGCTAACAGCAATGTCTGGTCTTGAACATCTGGCAATGAAGTTTAGCTTGCCTAGCACACTCCTGTACAGTGTAGTGTCAGAAAATGCTTCTTCAGTGTCATCTACCTGATAACCTGTTGTCATCGGTGTGTCTACAGGGTTAGCATCCATCAGATTTAGTTTGCTTAACACATCAGCAATTTTCCGTGACTGGTGTACTAGAATGTTACCATCTTGATCTTTCTCTATTTCCAGAGATAGGTAGTTGTTCACCTCACCAAGATCTTTCATGTCAAAGTGCTCTTTCAGTTGAGCTAGGGCGCTATTGTACATTGCAACATCTTTCCAAAAGAATAATAAATCATCAACATAAAACAAACAGTACAGTTTCTTTTGCCCCTCCTCTTTGACAAATACACATGGATCAGCTTTCCCTTGCTGAAAACCTAGAGAAAACAATACTTCAGTGAGTTTTGTGTGCCAACACCGTGCACTTTGTTTGAGACCATAAAGGGATTTCTTCAGAGCACAAACAAATCCCTGTTTTACCTGTACGCCATCAGGTGGAAGCATATAAAGTGATTCATCTAGAGATCCGTACAGAAAAGCTGTATTAATATCATGGTGACTAATGTGTAGATTTTCCTCTACAGCTAGCTTGAGCATAAGCCTAATGCTTTCATATCTCACTGTGGGTGAATAGGTCTCGTGATAGTCTTCACCTGGTACCTGTGCAAAACCTCTGGCTACCAATCTGGCTTTGTGTCTGACTATCTTGCCATTTTGATCTGTCTTCACTTTGAAGACCCATTTGCTTCCAAGCAGTTTCATTCCTGGAACTACTGGAACTAGCTCCCATGTTTTGTTCCTTTCTAAGGAATCAAGCTCAGCCTTCATGGCATTTAACCATGGCTTAGCTTCCTTTGAATCCAAACCCTGGATTTCTTGGAAACTTGAAGGTTCAAATACCTTCTTGGAGCTTTTAACAGCTGTTACTGCTATCTTAGCAAACTCATCAGCAAATCTCTTTGGAGGTTTGCTTTTTGTGGCTCTCTGTGACCTACGAATTATCCTTAAGTCTTCAACACTCTCCTCTTCCTTCTTAGGAGAAAAACGACCTATTGTGAACAATGGTTCCTCCAATTCTTGATCAGAGCTTTCAGAGGGTCGCATAGAGGCTTTCGCACTCTCGAAATCCTCTGAATCACCCGATTCAGTTTCAGATTCAGACTCAGAACCTTCATCAGTGGGTGTGGGCTGTTGTGGTTGCTTTTGACTATCCTCAGTCTCATCACCGTCATCAGGATAACATTGGAAAATTCCCACATTCTCCCCCACTTTGCATTGTACTCAACACTTCTCGTGAGCTTAATTGTCTTAGAGTCAGTCATCATTATTCTGTAAGACCCTTTCTGATAACCTAGAAAGATACCATGCAATCCACGCTTGTCTAACTTGGAGTTTTGTGGTGAGCGAACCCACATGTCAGAACCAAAAATCTTCATGTGTTTGATGTATGGCTTCTTGCCAAACATCTTCTCATAGGGGGTACAACCAATCGCTGAAGATAACCTGCGATTGTAACTGTAAACAAAACACGAGAGAGATTCGGCCCACTAACTCTCTGGAAGATTGGCATCATGCAGCAAGGTTTTTAACCATTGAAGCAGTGTCTGATTTGCCCGTTCCGCAAGTCCATTCTGCCATGGCGAGCGAGGACTAGACAAATCGTGTTGAATTCCTTTCTCAGTCAGAAAAGCTTCAAACTGCTGAGAAGTGAATTCCCCCCCGCGATCACTGAAAAGAGTCTTTATCTTCTTACCATGCACATTTTCCAACCAAGCACAGAATTCCTTGAACCTAGGAAAAGCCTCCGATTTCTGCTTGAGATTGTACACAAAAATATATCTAGAAAATGCATCAATGAGAACCATGAAGTATCTATTTCCACCCAAAGAGGGCGCGAGTGGTCCAACCAAATCAGCATGAACAACCTGGTATGGTTCTGTAGCTTTCCTACTAGACACCTTACCTTTCGCAGCCATTTTCACTTTGTTTGCTGCGCATGCTTTGCACTTCATGTGGTACCTGCAGGGTTTAATAGTCATACCTTCAACCAAGGCAGGCATTTTAGATACTGCCTCAAAATGCAAATGACCAAATTTTCGATGAAAATCGTGAATACATTCTGCATGCAAACTTTTGTTAGAACCTGCAATGCAACAAGTGTCATCCTGCACCACATCATCATAATACAAAACAAACAAATGATCAACATATTCTGCATGCAATACATAATCATTTTTCTTTGTGATGATGCACTTCTTGTTCTTGAAGGAAACGTCAATGTTCCGCTCATTCAGCTGTCCAACGCTGAGCAGATTATGTTTGGCGTCTGGCACGTAAAGCACATTCTGTATCGATAAGTCCAAACTGTGAAGAACAACAGTTCCGTAGCCTTTACTGGGAATAGTGTGGTCATCCGCCTGGTGAATCGCACCTTCCTGCGGTGTAAAAGACACAAACAGTTTCTTATCGTTGCACATGTGGTGGGTGGCCGCTGAATCAACAACGAAGAAAGATCTAGACGTCTTCTGGACCTCTGCAACCTTTGGAGTGAAGCGTGAAACCATAGCCTTGTGCTGCGTTGTCCTAGACACCGGACCTTTGCCTTTGCCTCGGCCTTTTCCGCGCGATGAGCTTTCGCTGCGCTGCTCTGTCTTGGCCCTGGGATGTCTGCATTCCCTCTTCATATGGCCTAGACGTCCACACGAGTAGCATTTCACTGCCTTCAAAGCTTTGGCGCCATCTGGTGGTTCCACTGCACTATGGGATGACGTCTGTGAAGACTCCCCTTGCCCATGCAGCTAGCACCCCGGCGATCTGCTTCATTTAAAATCACGGCAGTAACAAAGTCCACTGTCAGCTGAGCAGTTGGTTGCACAGCAATCTGGGTTGCAACAGACTCCCAACCTGAACCCAAAGATTGTAGTATCATGAAAGAATACACAGCCTCTGGAAAGTTGAGTCCTCTCTGTTGCAGCTCATGTCTCAGATTTTGCATCTCCATCAGATGTAAACGTACATCTCCACCTTCAGCAAGAGCCATATTATGCAGCTTGTTAAAATAAAACATAGTGGATCCAGCTTCTGTCCTTAAGTGAGCCTCTCTCAGAGCGTCCCAAATTTCTCTGGCTGAGGTCTTATCACGCAATAGACAGAGCTCTTCTGGGGATACTATCAATGTAAGAGTTCCCCTTGCTTTGGAATCCTTAGCTTTCCATTCATCTGTAACTGGAACTGGGGGGGTTCCTGTAATCACCTCAAACAAACCCTCTTTCCGCAGAATTGCCTCTGCATACTGAACCCAGTCGCTGTAATTTTTCTTGTTGAGCTTAGGAATCCCACAAGCATCCTGAAGGGCCATCATGACTCTGGCATTAGCCTTCAGCGTCATTATTCTGCTTTAAATCTTGCTGCGTCACTGCTGCAGCTGCCTCATTACAAAGGCACACTTAAAAGTTACTTTCGATTTCCCCAGCATAGTGACTTGTGCCTGGGAGCCTTTTGCCTATTCCCGGCAAAACCGGCTTTAAAAGTTCAAAGTCCAGCCATAAAGCCATTAACTTGAAGCTGGCAGGCTGCCCGGAGCAGTAGCACATACCTCATCAATCACTTCTACGCGCAGAGCAGATTCCTTTCCGATCCGTCCCTCTGCATTCCGATCCTCTGCCGGCACTCCGATTCGACCTCTGGAGTCCATAACCACGTGTTGATTTAAGCAGAGTCTGTCGTGCCCAGCGGAAGGATGAGCAATACGTGCTACATACTCTATATTGCTTTATTTACAGTTCAAAGCAGGTATATTACAGAAAGACATCTTGCCTCTGCAGGAGCAGAAAATGCATCCTCTCTCCTCGACAGCTCGGAGAGAATCACACAGTGAAAAACAGGAAACCAGTGTACGTCACATCCAGTCTCCCTTTCCCGTGAGAAACTCCAACAGTACAGACTGTGGAATGTAAACACCTGTCTCATGACAAGCAGAGCTGCACAGTGAAGGAAAGCAGAAACCAACACAGCCAAGACACAGGCCACATTCACACCATATATTGAAAGCACTAGGACACACAGTCATGGCTTCCCCCAAAGCTTCATGGGAGTTGTAGTTCCCTAAGGCTGCTGAGTGTTATTAGGAGGCGCCTGTTCCTTCTTACAGAGCTACAGTTCCCAGAGTTCCCTGCGAAGAGGGACTTCAGGATTCTGCCCTGCATCCCCACATACATGCACCAATTCTGGTACAAGGTCTGCAGAACATCTCCTGCAGGCATGGTAGATAAACAACTTTGAGGAATGAACATCAAGGTCACTCAGTGCTTTAACAAGAGTTTTCCATTGCAGAATGACTCCCTTTGTCTCCAGTGTCCTTCTCTTTTCTAGTTAATTTGTTTTTCTAAAAGATGCTTTTAAGCCTGCTTCTTTCTTCTCAAACTCAGCATGACCGCTGTGGCTTTATTTCTCCTATAGAGAACTCAGAGCTACTCCTATGCAGCCACCCATCCGGCCTTGTCTGCAGTTTATTTACAGTGCATCTGATTGCCTGATGCTAATCTCCTGCAGACAAACTCCTGGGCCAGCCTTTTGTGAGGCATCCAATACGTTCTCCCCACCCCACTCTGCCATGCTTCCTGCCGCCCCAATAATGCTGCCTCTGTGGTCATTAAGCATGGCAAATGGATGCATGGTTCAGAAACTCCCTATTGAAAAGGTACCGCATTTAACTTAGGAAATTGGTTCACAAACTGGTCTTCAGCTGCGGCTACGGGCGGCTTTATTGATTTGTGCTGTGAAAGGGGAAGGATCTGCAATGATGGACTGAGGGGGACATTTGCCCCTGAACCCAGCCCCCTGCAGTCCCCAGGGTCTAGAGCAGAGGGCAAGGAAGTTCACCGATCAATGCATCTGTTCATCTCTCATGATCTTGCTGTTATAGATTCCTTACCACGTTCTATCTTAAAAAGCAGAGACATCACCTTGCCAACAAAGGTCCGTATAGTAAAAGCCATGGTTTTCCCAGTAGTGATGTATGGAAGTGAGAACTGGACCATAAAGAAGGCTGATCGCCGAAAAATTGATGCTTTTGAATTATGGTGCTGGAGGAGACTCTTGAGAGTCCCATGGACTGCAAGAAGATCATACGTATCCATTCTTAAGGAAATCAGCCCTGAGTACTCACTGGAAGGACAGATCGTGAAGCTGAGGCTCCAATACTTTGGCCACCTCATGAGAAGGGAAGACTCCCTGGAAAAGACCCTGATGTTGGGAAAGATGGAGGGCACAAGAAGAAGGGGAAGACAGAGGATGAGATGGTCGGACAGTGTTCTCGAAGCTACAAACATAAGTCTGACCAAACTGCAGGAGGCAGTGGAAGACAGGAGTGCCTGGTGTGCTCTGGTCCATGGGGTCACGAAGAGTCGGACACGACTAAACGACTAAACAACAACAACCACGTTCTGCCTCCGTTCTACACCGCTGTGTCTCAACCTCCTAACTCACTTCCGGGTCTGTGCAATACTGATGATGATATAACAACAACAACATTGGATGAAGAAGTGTTGGTTTGGTTTCTTTGGGGGTGGGGGTGGGAGGAGAGACCACACTGAGAACTTTAAACTGGCTTCTGGACTTTAAAAAAACATCAACAACCTAAAAGTGTGTTCCCAGAACACATTCTTTCATGCATATGATCTTTCTGCACAGCAGAACCAAAGATCATCCAGGGCTGGTTTTTGTTTTCAGTAGAATCAAACGGTTATGTTCTTTCTAGACTGCACCATTTCTGCCTGCAGACAAGTAACAGATCTTGTCTGGAGAAATACATATTGTTAAAAGTAGAAAATATCACATCAGGTGGAAGGCTAAGCTGAAACCTCCATGGATGAGCATCACCCACACCTTCAACACAAAACAGTCTAGGGGAAAAATGTAATACCGAATGAATCTGCTGAAATGTATACATTTATAAATAAATTCATCGATAGGCCCAATTTGAAGGATCGGACATGATGTTTAGGCACTTCTCATTCCTGCACTCTATACAAGGCCAGCCTTCCCAACCAGTTGCTTTCCAGATGTTCTTGGAATCCACCATGGCCAACCATCAGGAATGCCAGGAGTTGTAGAGGACACCCGTGTTAGAAAGATCCAAGAAAGGTGCCTTAGAAACAGTATTGGTTTCTGGCATGATCCAGAGTGTGCAATGGAGGATTCTGATGAGGATGAGGGTCACACCACTCCCTTACGGGAAGTACTGCCAGAACCTTATTTGAGGACTTTTTCGATCGAGTACACAGCCCCGTCACCATCCTCTGACTCAGAGGATGAGACTCCTGTAGAATCTTTGCCGCTCCAGCCTTGCAGAGATCCAAGGCTATAAAATAAGGTGAGAGAGCTTTTCCCAGCAAGCCAGCCACTTCAATGAGGACAATAGTCTTAGTTTTGTTAGCCGGCATAAGCACTTGGGTTGGCTCTAGCTCCCTGTAGCGCTAATTCGGGAAGTATTGTCCTCACTCTGAATAGGCTAAAGTCGTACCTTGGAAGTCAAACAGAAACCGTTCGACTTCCAAAATGTTCGAAAACCAAAGCGTGGCTTCTCATTGGCTGCAGGAAGCTCCTGCAGCCAATCGGAAGCCGCGGAAGCCCCATCGGACGTTCAGCTTCCAAAAATAGTTTGTAAAGCGGAACACTCACTTCTGGGTCTGCAGCGTTCGGGAGCCAAAACGTTCAAGAACTAAGCTGTTTGAAAACCAAGTTACTACTGTAATTACCTTTCTAGGCAATCTTGTGTGCCTCACTCTAAACAGGCTTAATTATCTTTCTAGGCAATTTCGTGTGCATACACAAAAAGATCTCTGAAGCTTTGCAATGCTGCTGAAGAATACTCCCCTCTTTACTTGCTCCTAAGTTTTTTACCGCCTTGAGCCACCATAGGAATTTTGGCCTAGTTTTCAAATTTCCAGATCTACCTACTGCTATGTCACAGCACAGACATTTTGAGGATCATTATAAGAAGCATGACTAGCTCAGTTGGTTAGAGTGTGGTGCTGATAATGCCAAGGTTGCAGGTTCAATCCCTGTTAAGGGACAGCTGTATTGTGTAGGGGGTTGGACTAGATGATCCTCAAGGTCCCTTCCAATGATACAATTCTATGATTCTATAAACTGCATTTTGTTTCCTCCTCTTTCCCGGTATTTAATGGCCCATCGTATTCATACTGCTGAACGGAGCCAGAGCAACATTCTAAATTTTAGTGTGAAAAGCTTTTGCGGGGAGGTTATATCCCATAATCTCTGTACAAGCCAGCGCACTGATAACATAATACAGAGCAAAATGATTTTCTGGATATTAAGAAGATTATTTGGATAGGTCAATATTTTTATCTAACGGTACAGAGTTCCCCTGAACTTTATCAAGGACGGATATAGGTTATCTGGGTTCCATTTTGATGATGAAATGTCAAATGATGAATTGTTGGTTCACTGCAGGTGCTGCCAATAATGGATTTACCAAATTGTGGGAGAAAGAAGGCTCAGGAGCTTTGATGTCTACTGAAAAAGTTGTAATCCTGACTTCTGGTACAGTACATGTCTTGTTCACCATGAGTATGACGCTGTTTCAAATATGTACCAGATGATCAAGATGATGCTCTGACTACTGCAGTAATGTGCCCTAGAAGATTGTTTTCCTTTAATACTATAATAATAATAATAATAATAATAATAATAATAATAATTTATTATTTGTACCCCGCCCATCTGGCTGGGTTTCCCCAGCCACTCTGGGCGGCTTCCATAGAAACAAAAAATACAGTAAAATATCACAGATTAAAAGCTTCCCTGAACAGGGCTGCCGTAAGATGTCTTCTGAATGTCAGATAGTTGTTTATCTCTTTGACATCTGATGGGAGGGCGTTCCACAGGGCGGGTGCCACTACCGAGAAGGCCCTCTGCCTGGTTCCCTGTAGCTTTGCTTTTCGCAATGAGGGAACCGCCAGAAGGCCCTCGGCGCTGGACCTCAGCGTCCGGGCAGAATACTGAGAGGTTCCTGTTCAAATAAAGAGTTGCAACTAGATGAACAAGATACTGTGCAATTAATCCACCTACAGATAATGATACTGATGAACTGCACGGCCACGATAAAAGATTACTGTCTCCATTATACTGCTTGAAAGATATCGCTTGAAAGAAACGATAAAAGATTCTCATCTGCACTATATACTGCTTACCGATGTCTGTGTTTTTGATGTACAACCTTGCACACTGCAGATAAGCATGTGGTGTGCAGCAACAATTTAAACTACAAACTGTGAAAATACTCCCCACCCCACCCTTTGTGGCTCTCTACATCAGGATTTCCCAAACTTGTGTCTCTAGCTGTTTTTGGACTACCACCATCCCTGCCTCGGCAGTGGTCCTGCTAGCTAGGGATGATGGGAGTTGTAGTCCCAAAACAGCTTGAGACCCAATAACAAACCTTCACTACTCGCGTAAACGTGGGCATTAAAGTTCCCAAGCAGCCATTCTAACCGTTCAGAACCCATCAACAGGGTGTTGCGACTTTTTAAAGCACAAAGGGTACCTAAAGCGAATGACAGGGTGTCATTGGCCATGACATGTTGCTAAGGCTACAGATGAAATCAGAAATCCATGAGCCTTCTGGTTGGTCCAAGAGGGGAGGGAAGTGAAAGCAGAACCTTAAATAGAGACCAAATGCAGGAGAATTCATAGCGGAAGGCAAGAGATTGTTAAATATTCTCATTCAGTTAAATTAATTCTCTCTTTTTACACACAATGTAAACAAGATCACCATATCCCCCTGGAAATTACCTTTTTTAATGTTTGGGTAAATACATGGGCTAATCTTGAAATCATAGAAAACACAGTAAATGGTTTTGTTTGTTTAAAAAAGCAAAAGCCAAGCAGGAAAGGGCTTTGTAAGTAATACAGGCCTTCAAAGGATCTGGCACTTCAATCCACTAAGACCAAGAAACTGTGAAGGGAAAGGAGGAGAGCGCTTAAGGACATAATTGCCGTTAAGTGGAAATGAACACGCTAATGCTAACACCTAATTTGCCATAATCATGAGAATGAACCCTAAGCGTTAGCAGAATGAAACTATGGATCAGACACGCAACATTTGCAGAGGCGGAAAGTAATAGCTACGGGATAGCATCAGAATACGGCCGTAGGAATTCCAAGGTGATACCTATTCGAACACACCTTTCGAACATCTCTGGGGAGCACGTCCACAACTGAGGTCCTGTCAGGTGAGAAAGCCATCTCTTGGGTAGCCTCACCTAAGATGGGACACCCAGAAGGGTGTAGTGTTACAGTGCGTTTCTGTCCTTACAGATTCAGGGCCCATAATTAACATCACCTTCCAACATGGAGTACAGTGGTACCTCAGGTTACATACGCTTCAGGTTACATACGCTTCAGGTTACAGACTCCGCTAACCCAGAAATAGTGCTTCAGGTTAAGAAATTTGCTTCAGGATGAGAACAGAAATCATGCAGCAGCGGCGCGGCGGCAGCGGGAGGCCCCATTAGCTAAAGTGCTGCTTCAGGCTAAGAACAGTTTCAGGTTAAGAAGGGACCTCCGGAACGAATTAAGTACTTAACCTGAGGTACCACTGTACTCTCTCCCCACTCTTTAAATTTTGAAAGCATTTATTAGTCATATTGAGCCGCCTAGTCCCTGATACCTCAGAGATGCCTTTTTCATTATGGCTCCTTCACACAAATACTACTATCAGCCAAAGCAATGACTTAGCATCCCCGCTGAGATGCCACCTTTGAAAAGGAAGAATACACAGGTAATTTTTGTTGTTGTTGCAAATCTTTCTTCCTTTTGTGTGTCACCAAATATATCCCTGAACGTTTGAATACTGGGTGACTGGACGCAAGTAATGAATTGTATTACTTAGCGCTGCTATCATGCTGCTTCGAAATATTTCATAGGCATTGTCATCATGGTAATCTGTCACCACCCCAGGGGTCTGAGTCCTCATCTTTCACCAGAGCTTTGGAGAAAATATCGAAGTCCCAGTGAAAGAGAGACCTGCTTTTCCAGCACTTATCCAGCCCAAGGTCAGTTTATAGTCAGGGACTTTAAGCACTGAAGCAAAGTTTGAGCCTGTGGCGTTCGCCTCCTAGGATGGGTCGTAAGGAAAGGGTTTAAATAGGTGTGATGTGATTGGCCAGTGAGAATGCAAGGGGGGAATAAAAGTTAGAGTGGGAGGTTTTGAAAGTCAGTTGAGGTTTGGGAGTTGAGAGTTGAGGTTTGGGAATTGGAGTTGAGGTTTGGGAGTTGAGGGTTGAGGTTTGGGAGTTGAGTTGAGATTTGGGAGTTGAAGAAGGAAGAGGGAGGTTTAGGTGTGGGCTGGTAGAGTTATATTGTGAGAGAGTGAGAGGAATTGTTAGGCGGAGTCAGATAGATAGTTGGGAATAATCAGTTTGAAGTTGTTAGGAACTAAGATGAAGAAGCTGTCAAGAAAAACTAACTGAAACCATAAACTTGTTCCTGCATTTAAAAATAAACTTGATTATTTGTTTATGTTAACAACTGACTGGACTCAGTGTGTCCCCATGAGATATGGGGTGGTGGCAGCGGAAAAAGCAATCGCAGTGGCGGCACAAGGTCAATAGACCATCAAACGTCCGGGGGCCCTGTGTGTGATTGCCACGGAGCCTGTTTGCAGGACTCTTCAGCCTGAGCTTCAAAGAGAGCTATCGAGGGTGATTTGCCTGTACTGCGCCTTACCAGAACCCCATGCCTCTTGAGTTGCTTGGACTTTGCCCGTCCAGAACCTGAGCTTTGTGATACTGGACCCCGATCCTGTTTTTGTCTAACTTTCTCTCGTCAGAACCGGAAAATTTGCTTGACTTTGCCTTATGGAACTTGAACTTGGATTTGCTTGAGCTTTCCCTTGCTAAACACAACACACACATACACACACACCAGCTGGGGTTAGAACACCATCTGACTGAGACCACCACCTGGAACTGAACATAATCCTTACAGCAGGCTTGTAAAGTAAGTCAGTATATGATTACGCCCATATTATAAATGGGGAGCCGAATGGTTTGCCTAAGGCCACCTATTGGGCAGAATCGGAACCAGGTTTTTCACAGATCACACCTGTAGCCCAGCAAACAGCCTCTTGTTTAAAATGCATGTGTTACGCTGTCGCAATATTATTTCTGCTTCTTCCTGGGCGCACGCCAACGGAGCCGGGCTGGAATTCCTTTGCTAGCTCAGAATTGAAACATCAAACAGCACAGGCTTTAGCAATTCAAGTTCCCTAATGTCATTGTCTTCAAGAACCTGGCCTGAAGCCCTGAAATGGAAATTGCTTAACTTGTGTTAATTCTCATCAGGGGGAGAAGAAAGATATATCCTTGAACAAGATTTAGCACAAGGACATCGTCTCCATATCTTTCACTTGATGGGATCACGTCTTTCAGGGAGACTACACAAAGCACTTAACAAGAAGAAGAAGAAGAAGAAGAGTTTGGATTTGATATCCCGCCTTTCACTCCCCTTCAGGAGTCTCAAAGCGGCTAACATTCTCCTTTCCCTTCCTCCCCCACAACAAACACTCTGTGAGGTGAGTGGGGCTGAGAGACTTCAAAGAAGTGTGACTGGCCCAAGGTCACCCAGCAGCTGCATGTGGAGGAGCGGAGACGCAAACCCGGTTCCCCAGATTAGGAGACTACCGCTCTTAACCACTACACCACAAAGACAACACTCTCGCAAAAAGCACCAAAAAGTTATCTAAACAGGGTAAACCCAAGCATGCAACGCAGGAGACGCTGGATGGCACACAGCCTTGCTTTTTATTAAGGCGAAACTGTATATCCATGACTGGAGCAGAACATACAAGGCATGCCTTTACCCCCACAGACCACAGTGCCCGTTGCCAGTCTATGTGCATTCACACAAACCCATGTGAATGCTTGGGACAAGAAGGGTGAATGCTATATACTCCCTTGGCCCAATGGAAAATAGGAAATATACCGTATTTTTCGCTCTATAAGACACACCAGACCATAAGACGCACCTAGTTTTTGGAGGAGGAAAACAAG